GGTGCCCATAGCACAGTGCTTACAGCGCCAGCCACATACACCAAGGATGGCAGGTTTGAACCCAGCCCGGGCCAGTTAAAGAGCTGAAACAAAAAAATAGGCGGGCATTGTGGCAGGAGCCGGTAATCCCAGGTACTTGGGAGGCTGAGGCAAGAGAATCACTTAAGCCCAAGAGTTTGAGGTTGCTGTGAGGTATGACACCCCAGCACTTTATCAAGGGCAACATAGTGAGTCTTTGTCTCAAAAAAACAAACAAAAAAAGAAATTAGTCAGGTGTGGTGATGCATGCTTATATTCCTAGCCACTTGGGAGGGTGAGGTAGGATGATGGTTTGAGCCCAAAAGTTCAAGATAGTTGTGAACTATGATCATGTCACTGCACTCCAAACTGGAGAATAGAGCAAGATCCTATCTTTAAAAAATTTTTAAATGAATAAAATTCACTTCATCTTATCCAAAGGTCCAAGAAGCAACAAAATATATGAAATAAATGAAACCAAAGAGAATTCATATCTAATTCTTAATGTCTAAATATAATAAGGGCCAGGCATGATGGCTCACGCCTGTAATCCCAGCCCTTTGGGAGGATGAGGTAGGTGGATTGCCCTAGTTCACAAGTCCAAAACTAGCCAGAGTGAGACTGCGTCTCTAAAAGTAAAAAATAAATAAGTAAGTAAATAAACAATAAAATAGCCAGGCTGAGCACAGTGGCTCATACCTGTAATCCTAGCACTCTGGGAGGGCAAAGCGGGTGGATTGCTTGAGCTTACAAGTTTGAGATGAACCTGAGCAAGAGACCCCCATCTCTACTAAAAATAGGGAAAAAAAAAAAGAAAAGAAAAGCAAACTGAGGGGTGGAGCCCATAGCTCAGTGGTTAGGGTATGGGCCACATACACAGAGACTGGCCAGTTCGAACCCAGTCCAGACCAGCTAAACAACAATGACAACTGCAACCAAAAAAATAGCTGGGTGTTGTGGCAGGCACCTGTAGTCCCAGCTACTTGGGAGGCTGAGGAAAGAGAATCGCTTGAACCCAAGAGTTTGAGGTTGCTATGAGCTGTGACATCATAGCACTCTACCAAAAAAAAACTGACACAAGAGGATCGCTTGAGCCCGAGTTAGAGGTTGTTGTGAGTTATGACTCCACAGCACTCTACCCAGACGAACAGCTTGAGACTCTGTCTTGGAGGGGGAGTGAAGGTGAGGGAAGCCTCCTGCGGTTGGAGGTTGGAAGAAAGGAAAAAATGGCCAGGCATTGTGGCAGGTACCTGTACTCCCAGCTACTTGGGAGGCTGAGGCAAGTGAAATGCGCAGACTCAAGGGTCTGGAGCTGTTAAACCACAGCAGCCTACCAAGGGCGACAGAGTGAGACTCTGTCTCTTAAAAAAAAAATAAGTAAATAAAGATAATATAATGATTCACAATATCCAACCCAAAAGATCTATATTACAGTATTTCTAATTAAAATAATATATTGAGGTGTTATTAAACACTCTTTAGAAATATACTTTAGAACATAAAAGTCTGAGAACAGAGAAGGGTTAATATACACTAAACAATACTAAACAAATTTTTTATTAAAGAAAAGTCAAACATAGAATTTAACAAGGGAATATGTCAATCAATACTTACTAGTCCCTGCTAGACAAACAACTTGGCCTTCCTCTGATTCTTTGTGAGTCGTTTCAGAACTTCCCGAAGAACGTAAGCCATGGGAAATCAGAGAACTGTTATTTTCTGACCGAAATTTACAGTTTAAGCTACTGTTTTCACTTGCCTGTTGAAAAAATATCTTAGCTGTATTAATCTTTTAAAATGGTCTGGGCAAAGTGGCTAGGGCCTGTAATCCTAGCACTCTAGAAGGCTAAGGCAGGTGGACTGCCTGAACTCATGAGTTTGAGACCAGCCTGAGCCAGAGGAGACTCATCTCTAAAAATAGCCAAGTGTTGTGGGGGGAGCCTATAGTCTCAGCTACTCAGGAGGTTGAAGGAAGAGAATCACTTGAGCCCAAAAATTTGAGGTTGCTGTGAGCTGTGACACCACAGCACTCTACCAAGGGTGACAAAGTCAGACCCTGTCTCAACAAACAAACAAACAAACAAACAAACAAAAAAACACAGAAAATCTTTTAAATTAAAATTAAACAAAGCTAGGCACAGTGGCTCACGCCTGTAATCCTAGCATGCTAGGAGGCCAAGGTGGGGGGGATTGCCTGAGCTCACGGGTTTGAG